AAATGAGTACTTGATTTTCATAAAATTTATTAACAAATAATTCTACAAATCCAAACATATAAGTAATTAAATTAATTTTGAATTAGTATCCAACTTATTTATACAAATTAAATAAAATAATAATAAGCTACTGTTAAGAAATAAAGAAATAAGAAGCGATTGTATTGAATTATATTATATCGTGATAATAATTTATAAATTATTTATTAAACTTATAATTAAATAAGTTCTAATTAATCATATTTTTTTAAAAGATATATCATATATGACATAATTTATCATGGATTTACTTTAGGGCATTTAACTTGTTACTTATTAAACTATAAACGAATTTGTTCGTGAACATACATAAACAATTTGGACTGTGTTTAAATTTGGTTTATTTAACTTTCGAGTTTTTAAAAAATCTTCTGAAGTTGGGCTTTATTGGCTCTACTTGATCAAGTTGGTTTCGCCAGAATCGTTAGCTCAGTGCTGCAACAAATTTATGATTGACTCCTATATTGCTTCGGGCCTTCTTCCTTTACGTGATTAATTGATCGAGTTATATCGTTGCTCGATCACAGAAACTCACGCAAATAGCTTCACTCACTTAATTGTTCATCATTGTTTGACTTCACTAAGAAACTTGATCTTGCTTGAGCTCGTCCGACATGCACTTACTCACTGGACTCGCATACCATCTTTCTCTCAAGCACTCTGTGCTTTGCATTAGGTGAAATCATCCACTCCGTCTCTTATGCTCCTTCGTTCTTTGGAAATTGAGGTGCATTGGTTCACCGTTCTACTTTGTCCACCTTATTTGCCCCTTCAATTCCTTGCCCTCACTCCTTTGCCTACTCTTCCTCTCTCGCTATCGATTATGATTTATGGGAGTTAAGACGCGCATGCTCTCTCGTTTTTTCCTTTTCATGATTGCCTTCTTAACTTATTAATGACTGACAGTTGGTTGGATTTTTTTTTCTAGGATATTACAGGAAGATAGTAAACCTGATCTTATATTATAAATGAGAATTTCTATAGACATCTTATGTACAATATTGCTTTCCCAAAAAACAGGGGATAAATGAGCTGATACTAGCATAGGAATGTGCTTAGCTTGATAACCTATTTGCTAAGCTCGAATGCCACTCATACTTACTCAACATAATTCAAGCTTGAACTCAAACATGGGATATTAACCTTCAATGTGAATTGTATTTCTATCATAGAGATTGTTCACAACAATTTTAAGTTTTAATTTGAATACCTAAACCACACTATCATAGAAGGAGAAGAGGGGTGGCCTTCTTTTGTCAGCAACAATAGTTGAGAATGTCTAACATTACTTTAATTTTAAATCTAGTAAAGCTTTTGGGTGTTTCGTCATGCTCTATTATGTGAATGATTTTTTTATCGTGGATGTTACGTGATGTCCACATTTTGATTATTTTGTGGAATTATCTGCTACTCTTGTTTGAGTTGTGCTTTCACAGATTTATTTTCTCTACGTGAACTAATCTACTCTATTTTCTCTTGTTCTATTTTTGGATAATCACTTCATGAGGATTTTGATATTTTGCTAAACTCTCTAGGATAGTTGTGCCTAGGGTCCTAGTATATATGGATGTTATTATCCGTATAAAGAAGATTTATATTGAATTTACATTTGGTTACTAGTAGAAGATAGATTTTGCGAAGTTTTTGATCAAAACTTCTTAGGATGCTGCAGGGCTAACCTAGAATTGCCATCCTTGCAACCATGCAAAAGGTATCAATCAAATGATCTAAAAAATTCTTCAAATATAATGGTTGTAGTTCTGATTGTTTATGATTTGATTTGTAGTCAAAACATGGAACCACTTTAGTTCTTAAAGGGATAAAATATTCTTAGAGCCATAAAATCTAGGGAAAAGGATGTATAAAACTTCAAGACAAATTTGAGAAAGGTATAAGAAAACTCTTCAATGAAGAATGCTATCAAGAGGAAGGAACTTGAATCATCTTTGGGTTGCATCTGAGTTGGTGGTGCATAGGAGACACTTCATGGGATTAAAAACATATACAAAGAAATTATGTTATTGAAAATATCCAGCTGGTCAGAGGAATCAACAAATGCTCTTACAGGTCTCGAGCTAATGAACTTTAAACTTCAATGTTTCAACTTCCTCCAGTATTTTGTGGAGAAGGGAATTTTGTGTGAATGAATGGTAGCTTGAGGTTAAATGCTAAGGGAACATCCTTGATTTGAACCCCCATGCTGTTACTGGTAAAGTGAGAAGCTTATTTGGCAAAGGAGACTTGCATGACTTCAGCAGGCTGGGTATTTACTGCAAAGGCTCTTCATGTGGTAATCAAATTAGCGTTGGTTAATAAAGGCATTACTTATAGAGGAACCGGTGGGGTAGAATTTAGGTTGAGAATGAAACTGATTTGGAGCAGCATCATTTGGTGGATGTTGATTTACCATAGATTCTTTTCACTCTAATAAAAACAGATTTTTCCACAGATGGCACTAAGAAATTTGAATGGTGGAACGTTACTTTTCTTTGCTAACCATGGAAAAAGTGACATTTAGCATTTCAAATTGAGAGATACGAGAAAGTATCGTGTTTTTGTTGCTCTATGAGGAAATATAGAATAAAAGAGAAGCATTGAGAAAAGTAGATAGATTTATAGTGGTTTGCACACTTTGAGAGAAAGCTAGTAAAATATTCCATCTTGCACCTATGTAGGATAACAACAATAATCTTGACTGTTTATAGGATTTGCTCTAGAGTGTTGAAAGGAAGAGATTCGAGTGAACTGATAAGATTACAATATTATGTCCAAGAGAAAAATACAAATGCAGTAGCTATTTTAGATGGGAAAACGAGAAGAGTATCTTTGGCCTCAGCGGTTTATTATTGAGAACTTGATGGAAGCTTTTAGTAATCATGTAAACAAAGTTTCCAATATTTAATAATGACTTGATTGCTTTTGTAAGTGAAAGGGAGAATACTCGAAGCATTGTGGTTTGGTTCTGTAGTGGAGAATGCAATATGAAAGCTTGGGAATTTTTCTCCTCATCCATATTCTGTAACCATTAAATGACTCTCATGATGGGGTATTTATAAATGTAAGGGATCTTTAAAATTTAGGTTTGCTAATGATGGTGATGTTGTAGAATAGTTCTTGTATCACTTAAAATGAGCAAATAGTTATGTCATACATAATTGTATTATAAAGCACCTAATTTGGAATTTGAATAAATCTCTATGACATAATACATTGATTGGGCATCATATCAATTGATGGTAAAGGCTCTCTTAAATAATGCTAGGAACAATGAATATTTTTACAATCTTGACATTCCCTAGGTACTCTGGAAGCAAAGAATGAATTGACACAGGCATGCATTCCTTGCCACGATGATAAATGCATTGTTCTGGTTCATGAATGAGCTTTAGTTGTGGTACTTCACATTTAATGTTTTGGCTTTGCTAGTGGCGAGGTCAATGCCAGAAATTTTCAATTAAGAATGCTAAAATTAAATCCAACCTTGCTCACTATTGTAGGATTTTGTTTAAGGTCGGGTTTAGGGTGAAATTTGAATTTGATTTAAGGTTAATTTCCTTTTTTTTTTTTTTTGAATAGATTAAATTCATTCAAAATTTAATGGCTAAGAATGAATTTTACCAGAACAATTTGCAGCCTTAGGCTAGGGAGCTTGTGTCACGACCTTGCTGGGGTCGTGCAACTTGTTTCCTTTTAATTAATACTTGCTATGATACTTGTTTAATATGAAATTCTTGATCTTTCTGACACATTTTTTAGGGTTAAATTTTATCAAGAGAATACACTATACTGATTATATGTTTCTTTTGCATGCCTCTCTTCGTGCACTTCCACCAGTGCAGTATATTAGGAGAGGTTGATATAATATATTAAGTTTATTGACTTTATTAAAAACTTTACCACTTATAGTCACATAATAATCTGAGTGAATGTAGGGTTAGGTTGCATATTTCAACCCTTCCTTAAACCCTACCTTGGTTGGAGCTAATGCATTATTAAGACCTCAATTTATTTTAAATGGTTTTCAAGCTCAATTCTTTCGTTGAAGCACCTTCTTAATGCTCAAAATGTCAAAATAGTGGTTGACTAGGCCAGTTTGTCTCACTTAACTGATAATTAAGTTTGACTTTGTTAGTCCAACATAGGCATTGTTTGGGCTTCTTATCATCCTAGAGGTAAATTTTGTCATCATCATTACCCTTGTTCCAACATCTTAGCTTTAGCTTTATGCATCCTCATTTATCATTCACAATTATGTTCTACTGTCTGAGTTCTTAACTTTATTCTTCACAAATCATTTTGAACTACTTCTATCTGCATAACCTTTGGTCCATCCCTTCTCTCTCATAATTCTTAGTAATTTATGTACTCATCTAATGATCTTATTTTTTATGCTTTATTTTACATGCCAAAACTCTTGAAGTTAAATCTGGAGGTAAGTTTTGTACTTGATGTATATCCATAGTGTGTTTAGGTTTCTGCCGAGGTGTATTATTACTTGGGTTTTGCATTGATGGATTCAGTATCTGAGTTTTAATAGTTTCTTCGGTTAAAAATTCTTGAGTAATTTGTTACTTGTTTTGGAAAACGGTTTGCCTTGCTATTTTTGTCATATTTACTAGGTCTTAAACTGGGTTTCTAATTATGTGTTTGTTATTGGTATATCAGGTTTAAATGTTTTTCTCTTTTGTTTGGTAACCTTTTGATGGCTTATCCTAATGTCTAATATGCCTACCATTTAGGATTTGCACTCAAAGAAACATTATCAAATTGAAAGGTCCAACTTTTCTTTACATAATTGGATGACGTGATATTGTCTATGTTTCATTCTTTCTACTGCAGAAGAGATCCATGTTTTCCCTTTTCTTCTGGTCATTATAAAAATACTAACTTGAAATCGTGAATTTGGTGCTGTTATGTATTTATTAATTAATGTATTAATCAGATTACTTTGCAATTCAAAGGTTTTGGGTTGGAGTGAGATTTCAGCATTTTCACTTTATTCGGAAGGTTGGAAGAGTGGCTTCCATGGAAGAATTTGCTATTGCATCATGGATGATTGCATGTGCGTGCCAGTCTGACTGCCAGGAAAATCTATTAAATTCGATGTTGTCTACTGAACCTTCTTGGCTAGAATTGCGCAATTTGGGTGTGGGATTTTGGTTGACGAATGTATCCCAGCTAAGGGCAAGAGTAAGAATGGGTTTGTCTTGGCCAGTCTTACATTTTTTAAGGTTATTGTATAATTTTATCTTGTTCGGCGAAAGGTCTTATAAAAAATTTTTTGACTTGATGAAAATACTTAAGATTTACATTTTTATTATCCCTCATAGTCTTACTGGTATTATATTGAAAATTGTTGATACATTAAATTAACTTATTCTCATTTTTGGCAAATTTATGCTTCAGGCTAATTTATTGTTTTGATACTTATTGATTATCTCATGGTTTTATGCTGCCAAGGTCTTGTAACGCATAGAATCAGAATGCCAGTTTACATGGGCCCGTTATTTATACTTTCAGGCCATTAGCACTCAAAATTTTTTCTTTAATCTGTGTTTTCGTACTTGCAATGGTGGGGTCTTTTCAGTTTTTAAAATAATACATCTTGCCTTCTACATCCACGCTGTTGAAGTTTGCAATGGTAGTGTGGGCCTTGTTTTTGGCATGAATAGGCACAAAGTTTACTCATAAGTAGCTCATAGAAAAATGCTTAATTTTTTTGCTTACGCTGTTCACTAAATGCAATCTATGCAGATTTTTAGAAGTGACATTCTGCATTTTAGAAGTAGTCGTCTAAGAGGAAAATTTTCAAATCATGTATACATTCCTTGCAGTTAGTTACGGACTGACATCAAGCTTTTCATTTTTCTGGAAGAGTGCCGGTGGCCTATTTCCTTTATAGATATTGGAGTTTGGCCATTTTAGGGCAATGAAAGTATGCTAGACTTCTTTTCCTTTAACAGAGCTTCATTACAGCTAAATTGAATTGTATCAATTACTATGAGTAAATCTTATGGTTATTATTTTGATTGTGGTAATCAAATGACTGGTATATCACCGTATGCAAACTTTTTTGAATAAAATCCTGGTTCTAGTATATTTAAACATCATTGAGCTACTGTTTGGGCCTTGAATATTCAATGAGCACAAGTTGTTCTTAACTTCTCCATTTAACTGTGAAGCTTGAACTTGAACATTCATGCTGGAGGCATAATCATACGACAAAGCTGTAACTGGAACTAATATTCTAAGGATTGATATAAGCATTCTCAAAGTAGCATAAATTCCCAAGGATGGAAAACATAATTAATAGATGTGGTATAAGTTTACAAAGTTCCTCCATTCGGAAGGTATTTTGTTTTTCTTTTATAACAATTGTTTCCTTGGGTTCTAAACAGAATTGTAAACTTTTGTCCCTTTTGCCTGCTCCTACAACCCTGTAGATTTGGTTGACTCTCCTCAAGCTTTCACATAAATATAAGCAAAATATCTGATTCCTTGTGCATGTATCTATTTAAAGTGAATCTCTTTTGTTTGTTTGTTTCTTTCCTGTTTCAATAAACATCTGAAGTCCATGCAAGCATTATTCGGAAAGGCTTATTGTATATTCTCTGCGGTGTTATTTCTTTTGTGCTATCTTTGAAGTGATTTTCTTGAATTAAATTGTCTGTATTCTCTGATCACGTCTATTCATGGTTGAAATACTTTTCTCAAAATTTTTTCTGAGCTTCCATGCTAACATTTCAGGTTGAAGCATCTTAATGTTATCCTTCCGTTTAAATTTTACAATGACACTCGAACAATAATTGCTAATAATTCAACACTTCTTCATTACTTTTCTTTCGTTTGTTATTGCTACAGATGGAGAAGCTAGCCAGACTTCAGTATCTCAAGCGGAAGAATCCCAAGGACTGTGCACTTTTATACTTAGCACTGAATAGGCTCCAAGTTTTGGCTGGACTTTTCAAGATCAGCAATGATGAGAAAGACAAAATTTTATTTGGATTCCTCTCAAGAAACTTTAAGGTACCATGCTGGCATAATGATATTTAATTGTGCCTTATGTTATGCACATTCTGGTCGGTGATTGAGTTAACGCATGCTTTACCAATTGATTCTTGCTTCAGGTTAGGCGTTTTATTTCTTGGATGAGCTCATTCTAGTCATAGGTGGTTTGCTTGTATATGAATATTTTAAATTTATTTGTTAAAATATGACTTTTCATATGTAGAAAATTAAACGATGGAAAGAATTCTCAAGAAATAGTTAGGGGGCGGGTGGCGGCCGGGGGTTTTTTGGGGGGGGGCTATAGATACAAATCCTGGATGCATTACAAAATTAAAAATAAAAAAATAAAAAAAGGAGAAAAAAATACGTAGGGGCTGGTGATCCTACAGGAAAGCATGTGGATTGCAATCTGAGGGTTATTGGGAGACAAATTTAATGGCACAAAGTATTGATTCGTATGCCTTAATTGTTTTGCTATATATACAACTCCTAAAGGCATCACAACATAAAATTAAATTAAAGAAAGAGAAAAAAATAGTTTGGGGACGGTGATCCTACAGGAAAGCACACGAATTGCTATATGAGGGCTATAGGTAGACAAATCTAAGAGTACATTGCTTTGATCTGCATGCCATAAATTATTTGCTATCTGAGGTGGTCATAGAGAAACAATCCAATGATACAAAGTCATGATCCTTGTGCCTTAATTTTTTTGTTATGATTGGAGCATAGCTTCAACACTCTCCATAATGCTAGATGGTAGAGATCTATCATTCTAAGTTTGCTTTTGATATTTTTAAATGTTGGGTTGCCGAGTCCTTTGGTGAATAAGCCAGCCAATTGATTTTCTATGCTCAATATATGAAGTGAAAATCATGTCCCTTCAATTTGTCTTTTATAAAGTGCCTATTAACTTTAACATGCTTAGTGCAATCATGTTACTTTGGATTGTGTGTAAATGGTGATTTGTTATCACAATATATGTTTATAGGCTTTTTCATTTAGTTTTTAAATCTTCTAATATGATTTTAACCTTTAAATCCCTTGAGCAATAACTTTAAATTCTGATTCAGCACTTGATCTTGAAATCACATGTTATTGTTTGTTTCTCCAAGGTATGAGATTTCCTCCTATGAATGTACAATACTATGAGATAAAACTTCTATTTATTGTTGATCCAACTTCGTTTGCATTTGTGTATCTTTCAACTTGTAGGGTGCATAAAGTTTTTTTTTTCCTCAACTTGATTTGATATATCTAAAGATTCTATAAGTGGTTTGAAGTTATGACTCTTTAGGTTTGTATATGACTAAATTTACCGTGAACACGATGTCAGGATGAGCGTGGGATAAATAAATTAATTTTCCTATTAACCTTTGATATTGTTTCGTATTTACATCAGTTCTTTCATGGAGGTCTATTTTTTTATTCTGGTTCAGTTGTAGTTTCTCACGGCTTGCTCGCTGTTATCTTGGTCTCTTTCAATATGTTCATAACATATTTCAGTTGGGAGAGAAATATTTCTTGTTCAGATTGAGTCACTTATTCCCAAGAAGTATTTGAATTTTTCTAACCCATTAAATTCTAAATACTTCAATAATTTTTTTTCTAGAGCTTTTTGCTAATTGTCATCTCTTATAACAATCATGCGCCGATATGCACACTATTAATTGAGATTTTACCATCAAGTGAGTATGTTATGAAGAGCGTATGGTCTTTTTGACTCTATTTGTTTCTTATTTCTTCCATTGCCTTTATAAATTTACCAAATTAAGCTTCGGTGATTGTTTTAATCCAATATCAAGACTTCTTCAACATGCATGTAAAGCCTCACAACCGAGCATTTCTGTCTCATTTTTTTTTAAGTGAACGTGGGGGGAGGGGGGAGGAAAGCAAGCGAGATGAACAAATATTTAAATTTTTTTAGGAGAAACGGACCCCTCTTCGTCACAACGACATCGAACTCAGAGGGAAGAAGGAGAAAGAAGAATCATATCTAACCCTAATGTTCAGAAGAAAAGTCTTACCTTGCTGTCGACACCACAGTTGATCGAGAGAAAGGAAGACGATGCTCGGAAATTTAATGAAGAACCTTAGTCGTGTGTGTGCATTAGCAGCTGTGCTCGCAATTGGGAGGGAAGCATACGATAACGTCTTTCGAGGAAGTTTCGTGTGACAAATAAGGAAGGAGTGGCTTTGCTTGTCTGTTTGACCAAGGTAAGAGACAGGTCCTCTAAACCGAGCAGACGAAGCTGAGCTTGAGCCTTGCTGAGGAGGTGACACCGGTATTGAGCAGAGGAGGCGAGTGCTGGAGTTCCTAATGTGCAGTGATACTCAATTTTAAGTGATCGAGCCGAAGGAAAATTAAAGGGAGTAGCCTGCTAGTTGAAGCTGAGGTATCGTTATTAAAATTATATTTTAATAAAATATAACATTTAGGTTGTATATGTGTAATAATACCATTAAATATTATAATAATAGCAATATGAAAGATTTATTTAAAATATGAAACTAATGTTTACATTTATTTATGTTAAATTAGAGTGAAAATTAATAAAATTTAATACAACACCATAGCCTTAATCCCACTAAGTGGGGTCAGTTACATGAATCATTTTTCTCCATTGCTTCCTATTTAGTGTCTGGGGTCACCCACTAAGTGGGGTCAGTTACATGAATCATTTTTCTCCATTGCTTCCTATTTAGTGTCATATTTTCATTTAATTCTAATAAATCAAGACCATTTTTAATACAATACGCCCAAGTTTTTCTAGGTCTACTTCTGCATCTCTTAACATAAGTTGAATCTAAAACATCTACTTTCCTAATCAGATCATGAAATGGTCAGCATTTAATGTGACCAAACCATCTGAGACGACTCTCTAATTTTGTCCGTCACTAGCGCTGCACCAACCCTATCACAGATATATTCATTTCGCATTTTGCCACAGTGCATTGCAGGTCTCACCATTATCTTATAAAATTTTCCTTTCAGTCTAAGCGGTATTTTTCTATCACACAATAGGACCAAAGCATTCCTCCACTTCAACCAACCAACTTGATTTTTACTATTAACACCCCCATCAATATCACCATCGCTTTGAGCAATAGCCCGAGATACCTAAATCGATCACCCCTTTAAATAATTTGATCACCCATAGTTACACTTATGTCACTATGTCGGCGCGGAAAAGGGCCCGCTTCGGAAGGACTTTTTAATTTACGTATATATATATATATATATAATTTTAGAAAAATGTGAAATCAAACTGACTTCATATTTTTCACAGCTTAAATGAAAGAGCACTCTACCTCAAATCCTGTATCTATCTTGAGGGATAAACACGAGACTTGAGGATGAGACTCGATCAAATAAACTAAGAAATATATGACATCCGTTTGGTCTGCGAAACCATTCTATTTGCCGATAAGTTCCCCTATTTAATACAAAGAATTAAATAAGGTTTATTTTTGGCTAGATTCGGAAAAACTTCCTATAAGGACAAACCTCTATAATTAATTACATTTTAAATGACCATAGTCATTTAAGAAAACTCTCGATAAAAAACAGGGAATACTATCTTCAAAGAAGTCAAAAGGATATAACTTTTCAATGAAACCAGACGAAGATGTGTGAAAGGGGAAATGCTCGAATGTGAAACATTATTGAGGAATCCAAATGAGAAAGAACTAGGGGAGGTCGTAGATCCGGAGGCGAACCTCGGTGACTTCCCAGTCTATCCTATGGTTTGACTTCAGTTTTGAAAAGAAATTATTCAAGTGTTTCATCCTGTCAATTTTATTTAATTAGGGCTTGTACTTGCATGATATAGTCACACAAGTCGCCTAGAAGGTATGAGGATTTATGTCGTATCGGACGACAACCTCAGAACCTAGAACGAGTTAGGACTTAAATTGCACAGTTTGACTGTGCAAAGGCCTAACAGATAAAGTGAGGATTTATGTCGCATTGAACAAACTACTTCGAAATCCTATGACTTGTTATTTAATTTCTAGGAAAAGAATTGTTTAGCTGGGGAATACATGTTCTGCTGTTGAAGATGGTCGTGCTGCCCACCGCGCTAGCTCCAAACTCCTCGACGTGACGAATTTAAGTTTTCTAGGGTGTCTAGTTATGATGTGAAATCAAACGACCCTATGGTAATAGTCCTTTAAACGTCCTATATAAAAAGAATTGTACGGTACGGTAGCAGGTAAAAACATGAATAGTATAACATGCTATACAGGAAGAACAATAGCAGACAGAAACATGAATAGTATAACATGCTGTACGGTACGGTAGCAGGTAAAAACATGAATAGTATAACATGCTATACAGGAAGAACAATAGCAGACAGAAACATGAATAGTATAACATGCTGTACGGTACAGTAGCAGGTAGAAACAGAAAAATAAAGTGCTGGAAAATGTAAAACAAACCTATACGCTCGTGAGATCCGCTGTTCCTTAAGTATAGCAAGTCTAAATGCATCGCAAAAAACGAAGTCTGGAAGAAACGTCGTCCAAGAAATCCGAAGAAGAGTGTAACGACTCATGACAGAAAACTCAAGAAAATCAACAAGAAAAGACTCAAGTAAAAAAAAAAAATCCTCAAAAATCTTGGAGAAATATCGAAAGAAAGGAAAAGTAACACGAGTGCCCCAAAACTTCGATAAAACAAAAAAAGTTCGGGTGAGGGGGACCGCAAGCACTCGTATGGGGCTAGACTGAGATATATATTTATACTCGAGGGTCCGCGAAGGCTACTCGATCACCCGAATGTATAGAACTCGCCACTCGTCTAGAAGTGTCTTGAACCTCACTTAGAGAACTTTTTCCAAGTCTAAACAAGTATTCGTCAGGTGGACAATCAATTTTAAAAATGTATTTTTAAAATTTATGTTTTTGACATGTACATAGATCTCAAAAAAGAGATTATCAAATTTTATT